CCACCGCCATCAAGGGAGAAAGTGCCTGAGGAAAAGATTGACCACTTCATTCGTATGGCTAGACCACCAGCTACCAAGCCTGTTGACACAGACTATGAGCGCCACCTCAGGAAGTTAAATCGAGCACGTCTATAGAAAGAGGCGAGCTCGAGCTCGAGCAAATTAGCTGGCAAAAGGAGCGGTAAAACCGTTCCCCAGCTGGGAGAACAGGCGGCACAATCAATCCCCCCGCTTGTTGTGTCAACAACACATGAGAGTAGGCGCGTCCAATATTATTGTGGGCAAACCGTTTACGTTCCCGAGCTGGGCGATGTGGTAATAACCGAGGAGCATATAAAGCAGGCTGAAATGCTCAAGATCACTGTTGGACAACTCCTCGACATCAAGCCCATGCCTCCGCTTAGAGAGGAGGAAATAAAACGGAAATATGTCCGGGGCCAACCTTTGGTCGAGCCAGACAAGGTCAAGAAGCTCCCAACGAGAATGTATGAATTGCATCAATGGTACATGGATATTACCAAGATTTTCAATCGAGAGTCCCTGATGGTGAATGTCAAGAAGGATCATTACTACCATGGGAAAGCTATGTCCGTTGAGTATTCAGAACTATTTCAGTTATACAATCAAGACGCACTCGACAAATCTATTGTCAGTTGCTATTGTTTGTAAGTGATTTCTTTCTGTAATTTAAGTCTCAAGCTAGCTGTAGTGATCATTTTGATCAATCATTACCTGTAATTATTCTCACTATATTCTTTTCCATGGTATTATGCAGGATGAAGATTTATGAAATGAAAAAGGTGGACGCTATGGCATTGGGTTCGTTGACCCAAATACCATTAATGAATACACATGAAAATTAGATCCATATTACGAAAAAAATGTAGAGGAAAGCATGCTAGAGTTCTTCAAGCGCCTCAAATACAATGACGATATACTACTTCCTTACAACTTCGAGTGAGTCACATTGTTTTGTACTACAAATTCTGTTTTTGCCTACTAGCTAGCTACATGTTTTTGCTTACATATGCCCGCTTAATTAAGACGTGCAAACGTGTGTACATGCAGATTTCACTGGATCTTGTTAATCATTAAAGTTGATGAAGGAACAGTTGAAGTACTAGACTCACTACTTAAAAAACCAAGTGACTACACCATCGTGTCTGGGATAGTCAGCAGATAATTTCAATCATTATTAACTATATCTCAACCTATTTAGTTCGTCATTTCCTGATACGAACTATTTAATAACCCCTTTATTCATTTTCTTTGTCGGCGGGCAAGGCTTGGGCAAAGTTCATCAGCGTCACTCCAGGCCAATGGAAAAAAATATCTGAAATGGTATCGACCCAAGGTAAGTAATTAAGTAGTACTAGCTAGCTAGCTGCCATCTCTTTAATTATCATGCTTGATTAATTATTATCTGATCAAATTCCATTCTCGTAAAGGCCCTGAAGTAGGCGCCGGGGAATAATCTGTGTGCATACTACGTTTGCGAGAACATTCGCATGATGACGTCCGAAAGGAGCAGATCTCAAAGACAGGAGTGGGTACGTTTGTCAGAACACTATTCACAATTTTTACACCATTATCGATATCTTGTCACACAACTAATACACATGCATATTGATCTCCTTCTTAACAGTTCAAAGAGGTGCGGGAGCAGCTCCTACCAGAGGACCGCATAGAAGCAATTCAAGAGGAAATAGCGGAATTTTTGCTCGACCAGGTCATAGATTCCAATGGAGAATACTATTATCCGCTACCGCCCCCATGAACCACTTCCAATTGTCAACGTGCTCCGAAGGCACCAAATAGGCTAATGCCACTGGCTCCGAAGGCACCAATTATGAGAAATTGTATATAGCTACCTAATTTTATACATACATACATGTGTGTATATATGTGTGAATTAATGGTGGTTGTAAGACATTTGATGATATATATATATATATATATATATATATATATATATATATATGATCGGTTCTACTAGAAATTCTATTTATATATATGCATAACGTGTACAATATGTAGCATCGTAAAATACCAGCAAACGAAAAAGAATTAAATGGAAAACACAAAATTAAATGAAAAAGAAATCATAAACCCAACCCCCAACCTTTTAATACCGGTTGGTGTTACCAACCGGTACTAAAGGGCTCCCTGCCCCCGGAGCTGACTCGTGCCACGTGGTTGCCCTTTAGCATCGGTTCGTGCTGAACCGGTACTAAGTGGGGGATCTTTAGTGCCCACACTTTAATGACGGTTACCGAAATGACACTAAAGGGCCTTACGAACCGGTGCTATTGCCCGGTTCTGCACTAGTGATAGTTTCTTTTTTCTTATTTAAACTTCGGACGACTACATATGTAAGCTGTTTTTGTGTTTTGTTGTTTTATCAGTTGATAAATGGAACTAGATCTTTTCAAAGGATTGAGGGGGAGGGGAGGGGGGTGAGTGTTCTTTCACTCAACGAGTTAGCGTGACGGAATAAAATGGTAAACTACGGACAAAGATGCCGTGACATGGCATAACATGGCCATTGGATAAAAATGGACAGCCCAGAACAACCACTGTTAAAAACACTTTACAGGTACTTGAACACGACTATGCTTATACACTATACCGCGAGTAATGTTTACCTTCATCCGCCCATTGATTCTCAATCGGACGGGCAAAAAGAGGGGGCATGTAACTATGTTTTTCATCGGTGCTCATGGGAAGTCACTGGATCTCAGTTCGTAAATTATCACTGGGCATGTTGACAACTACCGTACAAGTTGATATTATTTTTATTCTATACTACTACGGAAAAACTATGAGAATCGCAAGCCTAGAAAACCTAGCTTTAAAAAGCTCCCCAAATCTTGGACTCCCCCATCTCATTATGTTGTTATGTACTCTCTCCATTCCATAATATAAGTGTAGTGTCAAAAACATAACACTACACTAATGTCAAAAACGCTTTTAAAGCAACTTTAATGGAGCGACCATTTGGTCCGCCTGTGTCTATTTGGATCGGCGCGGACAAAAGTGACGGCCCAACGCGCCGACCCAAACTCAAATCGTGTTCGTCCGGCGTCCGCGCCGACCCATTTCCGGCCCAAAATTGCGCCTGGAATGCGTCGGCGCGGACGCGAAGCGGACGCGCCGCACGTCTCCTCACCGTCCGCCGCGTCCCCACCTGGCGGCTGTCCAACTACTACGGTCAACATAATTTATGACGACCGCCCACCTTGGTCCCACGCGTCAGCGATGGCGATCGTCCTTTTTTAAGCCGGGCGTGCGGCGGGGCCGTCCTCATCCACTACCACTCGCCCCTGTCCCCATCTGGCCATCCCTGCCCCCACGCCGGCAACAACCCTAGCCACCGCCAGCATGGGTTTCTTCTCCGGCGTCGGCAGTAGCCGCAAGGGCAAAGCCCCCGCCCGCCATTCCCCCTCCCTCCCCGCCCTCCCCGCGCCGGCGCGCGCTCCCCGACAGAGGCAGCGCATCAACGTGTCGGTGCACCAGGCCGAGTGGCACTGGCACCACCGCGTGCCTCTGCCGTACCCGGACGTGACGCTGCCGCACGACTGGCATTTGAATTCGGAGAGGATCCCAGTGCCGGTGGCGCCGCGGACGACCAGGGCCCATGCAGAGGAGGTGCGGCGCCAGCGGGCGTTGCTGAGCGAAGAGCAGTGCGCCGACCCGCGCTTCGCCGTCGACTCGCTCAACTGGGCTCGATGGTTCGCCATCGAGCACGAGGAGGCGAGGCGACGCGGCGTCCGCGGCGTCGACCACAGCCTGCCGCCGCCCGCGCTCGTCGTCCGCGACGAGGACCAGGAGGCCGAGGCCGCCTACCAAGCGGGCATCAATGAGAGCGAGGAGGAGGAGCGGTGGAGGGAGGCGGACGAGGCGGCTTTCGAGGCTGCCATGACGGAGGCCATGGCCCTCTCCGCGGCGGGCGACTGCGTCGTGCCGCCGGTGGCCCCACCGTCCCCGCCGAAAGCCGAGCCGGAGGAGCCGGCCTACATCAAGCGCTACTCCTGGACCGGAATAGTCCGCGAATGGGTCAGCGCTCCGCCGATCTGGCTCGGGGCGACGGAGAAGCAGGAGGCGGCCTACCTCGACCACTGGCGCCGCGTTCGGCTTGCCGAGGACCGTCGGGAGGGCCAGCGCCTGCAGATGCTCGAGCGCGAGGCCGAAGAGGAGGCGCGCCAGGCCCAGGCAGCGGCGGCAAAGCCCGACATCACCGCCGCCTGGAACACGACGTTCCCCTGGGCCGGCCCTGCGCCGACGTTGATCGACCTCACCGGTCCCGACGCAGACGCCGCCGCTGCGGAGGACGCCTAGGGCAGCGCGTCATCTAGTTTTTAGTATTTTAATTAATGTAATGTGGACTTTCGCGGGCCTTGGTGGCCGGCTTTTATGTTTAATTCAATGCATGTATTTATTTTCAAAATGCTTGCAATACTTTTTTTGGCGCGCCGATGAAATGGGTCGGGCCAGCGTTGGCCGCTCGCGCCGACCCAAACACAACGCCAGACATTTGTGTCCGTCGGACCGACCCAGACGAACAAAAAGCGGGCAAAAACGCCGTCCGTTTGGGTCAGTCTGTTGGAGTTGCTCTTATATTACAAGATTTGGGGAGTACTACTCCACCAGTGTAGTGCGGTGTGCTAAGCGTAGCCCACCTAGTGATCACACGCTTGGCTAAGGATAGTCCATGCCAAGCCAAGCCAAGCCGCCGGTCCTCCTCCTACCAGCCAGCTTACCAACAACACAAGCCACAAAAGCCAAACGCGTAGGCCGCAGGCCGCAGCAACACACACACACTCTCTCTCTCTCTGTGTGCGCCTGCGCCCCAGTGTCCCCACAGCTAGGCCAACAAGATCTTAGCTCCCAACGGGCCCCTCCCCGTCCCCGAGATCCTCCGGAGCCGCCGCCGCCGCCGCCGCCGCGACCTCCAGAAATGCCGGCGCCGATCGGGGGGCGGCGCCGGCTGTGAGGCTGCGATGGCGCGGTCCAGGCCTAGGTTCTGGCTCGTGGCGGGCTGCGTCGCCCTGCTGCTCTGGGCCTCCGTCGCGCAGCTCGTCGCCGTCGGCCGCCTCCTCTCCCTCTTCGGCCTCGCCGGCAGCGCGCCCGGCCCCTCGCCGCCGCCTTCCTCGCCCCCTCCCCCGCCGCCGCCCCCAAGTGCGTGCCTTTCCGCCTAATTTTTGTTACCACTGGCTAGTAAATTTTATCGATTAGTTCTTGCATCTACTGGCTAAATTTTATCGGTCAGTATTGTATCTACGAGCAAATAAGTGATGAAGTTATTCAATTTTGAAATGATACATGTAAGAGTGGGTGCATTTTTGTGATCACCCTTCCCCAAATTCATACCAATTTTCCTACCAAAGAAAGAAATATATAGTACCAAATTTGTGAAGTTAGAGGGGTTGCTGCTGAAAGCTTAGCTGCCTTTAGTGAGAAACAAAATGGTTCGCTCTGGAAGGCATGAAAAATGGGAAAATTAACTGATTGATATCTCGGTGGGCGGGGGGAATAGAAGCCGCAGTTACCTTGATGTTTTGTTGAGATACTTATTCAAGGGCTTGCAAAATTTTGTCAAGATGTTACTATTTCAGTCAATCGCCAGTTCGCCACCAACAGTAATTGCGACTTTTTCTCCAGGAATCTACAAAAGCAATGGCTATCTGAAGATATCCTGCAATGGGGGTCTTAATCAGATGCGTTCAGAGGTCAGTTGTCTGTGCTTACTTGCGCTTTTCAATCCTAGCTTTCCCATTCTAACCCTTCTCATTTTGAATCTCTCTTATTAAGATATGTGACATGGTGGCAGTGGCGCGTTTGCTAAACCTCACGATGGTTGTGCCAGAGCTTGACAAGAGATCATTCTGGGCTGATCAGAGGTTCATTCCATTTTCTTGAAGAGGTGCTCTATGTATTAACCAGGTTGATATCTTAAGCGGCTAGTGTTCTGTATGCTTTTCAGCAATTTTGGAGACATATTTGATGTGAGGCATTTCATTACCTCATTAAGAGATGAAGTGCGCATTGTCAAACGGCTGCCAAAGAGGTTTGGTCCAACAGATTCAGGCATCATGCTGGACATGTCACCTGTGAGCTGGTCAGATGAGAAATACTACTTGCACCAGGTTTGTCAGCTTATCTGGGATCCATCCTTGCTTTATGGTACATGTATTGCTATGTGCTCTTCATAGTCTCTCACTTGTGCAGATCTTACCACTCTTCAGCAAATATAAAGTCATCCACTTTAACAAGACAGATGCTCGGTTAGCAAACAATGGCATCAGTACTGAGCTTCAACTTGTTAGATGCCGTGTTAATTTTCGTGCTCTGAAGTTTACCCCTCAAATTGAGGCACTGGGGAATAAATTGGTACAGAAACTTCGAGACAAGGGATCATTTGTGGCATTGCATTTACGATATGAGATGGACATGCTCGCATTTTCTGGTTGCAATCATGGCCTTAATCCTGAAGAAGCCGAGGAACTCAAAAGAATGAGGTACAATTTTCGGTGTACAGTCTTTCACCTAACATCAATAAATACATAGCAGCCTTTTTGATACTGAATCAAGTAATTCCTCAGAGAAGAAGGATAATGATTACTTTATTGATTCTTGACTTATCTACAGATACGAGCAATGGTTACATAGATGTTGTATATATTAGTTTGTTCCTGTGGCCCTGCATACATTTCTCAAGTTTTTATTGCTAATGTTTAGAGCCGGATGCAGTGTAACATCAGTATCAGTCTCAACAAATGGCGCTTTTTCATACATAGTTTCCCATTTCATGATGGATTCATGTCAATGGAATAGAAATTCAATTGCTCATCTGTTGTTAGCATAGTCAAATTGTCTAAGTGCCATCTTATCTTGGTCTTGCTGTTTTTCTTGAGCTGAAAACTGATGCACAAACTTTGAATCACCAGAATCCTACTTTTTTTTCTATCAATCAGATATGCATATCCATGGTGGAGAGATAAAGAAATTGATTCGAAAACCAAGAGATCAGAAGGACTATGCCCACTTACGCCTGAGGAGACGTCACTGGTTTTGAAAGCACTGGGCTTTGAAAAGGATACTCTCATATACATTGCTGCTGGTGAAATTTACGGGGGAGAAAAGAGATTGAAACCATTACGAGCTGCTTTTCCAAAACTTGTAAGTGTGTCCAACACTTTGTCAACTACATTGGCTTGTTCATGTTTCGTGGCAATAACTATAGTGCAACTCCTGACTATTCAATTGCAAGTGAGATTTTGCTCGTTTCTGCCAGCATTGCTTACAGTTTCTGACCTTCCATGCCATGTGTCTAGAGTGTGATACTCCCCCTGTATGGACCAAACCTGCTAATATAAGCAATACCGATTATCTTTCAGGTAAGAAAAGAGATGCTGCTAGATTCAGAACCTCTGCGCCAGTTTCAAAACCATTCTTCTCAGATGGCTGCACTCGATTTCATTGTATCCACTGCTAGTGATGTGTTCCTTCCTACCTATGATGGTAACATGGCGAAACTTGTTGAAGGCCACAGAAGGTATCTATACAGCAAGATTTCATCTTATAAAAACAATCAAATAGCTTTTCAAGATATAGTGTGTAGATATAGCCATCTTCTGCAGCAAGATTTGTACTAGTTTACTCTTTATAAAAATAAATAAATAGTATCATCTGGTCATAATTATCTGGTTGAATTTCTATCTTCAGGTTCCTGGGTTTCCGAAAAAGCGTGTTGCCAGACCGACGGAAACTAGTTGAACTTATAGACTTGTACAACAACAAGACAATTTCTTGGGAGAATTTTACATCTTCTGTCCAAGAAGTTCATAGAGGCCGTGTGGTCCAACCGTCCTGTCGGCGAAAACTCGAAAACAAGCCGAAAGAGGAGGATTATTTCTACGCTAACCCCCACGAGTGCCTGGCCAATTCAAGCCTGTGCAGTGGAAGCAAGGATACAGTCACTGTAAGGTGAGCACATTTGCAGCCTTGCCTGTGCAAGTTACTGTTTGCGATGATCCGCGGACTGAAGCCGGCAAGCAGGCAGAGTCCCGATGATCGTCTAACCGATGTTCCCAGTGTTCTGTTGTATAGGTCAGGTTTTTCTTTTCTTTCTATGCTGCAATCCATTCATTTATTTTGAAGCTTGCCGAAATAGGTAGGAGGCTTTGTGTAAATTTTTGTTGGTCGTTTGCTCTCTTGTTCACTGTTGATTTATTCATGATGATGATGTCGAAAGGGATATACAATTGCCATGGTGACCAATTGAGAGGCATTTTGGTTTCATCAAGTCTTGTTATTTTTTCTTGACTACGCAAAAAAAAGTGTTGTTATTTTTCTTGAGCTCATCATTTCCTTTCATTATCCATGTGAAAAGCTTTCTCTATCTATCCCCGCCAAAAATTTATATAGAAAATAAATGAAACTAAGCCACGCTAAGCTACAAGGTCAGCGTCTGGATTTCAGACGGCCGGCGCCACCACGCCGGCGCTCGAGCCTTGTCCTCCTCTCGTCGGAGAGCTGCCTGGCGAACCCGGCGAGCGCGTCGGCGTTGCTCCCGGCCCCCTTTACCTCCTCGTACCTCCCGGTCTCGACGTTCACCCTGGACACCCTCTGCGCCAGCATCCGCTCGCCGATCCTGAGGAGCTCCGCCATGTTCTCGGGCGTGGCAGCGTCCACCGTGGCCGCCGGGCCGTGGAGCGAGTTGTCCTGGATGCGGAGGTAGTCGCCGTCGCTGTGCAGCGACTGGAAGAGCACGGCGGCGTGGATGTCGACGAGGTCGGAGCTGGCTGCCATGAAGATGTCGATGATGGGCGCCATGCCCTTGTTGCGGAGCCAGCTGATGATGCCCCACTGGGAGCACTGCTTCGCCGTGTACAGCCCCTGGTCGGACGTCGAGCCGGTGCCGACGGACATCACCAGGAACTTGCCGCAGTCCGACGGCTTCACCGGGTACAGCTCCTCCCTGTCCTTGCCCATCATCTTCTTGGTGATCTGCGTCATCGCCACCATCGTCTGCGTTTGTCACAGCTCAGTTCATCAGTGTGATCGGGTCGGGCAAGCGTGTCTGAACATCTGACAGACGGACAGACGCTTGATTGGTTACCGGATTGTTGGCGGCGACGCCGCCGTCGATGAGGTTGTACTCGCGCTCCTTGCCGTTGCCGTCGTGGGTGTGGAAGTGGTGCGCGGGGAGGTAGGTCGGGGCGGCGGAGGTGCCGATGCAGATGTCGGCGAGCCGCGCGTTCTTCAGGGGCATGCTCTTGGCCTGCACGCACGCACACATGATCCATCACGTTTTTAGCCCCATGTCTGTCTGATCCATGATCCAAGTATAAAATTAGCATATATACGTCGTATGTGGAGAAGATGATGGGCTGGAGAAGCTTGACGTCGAAGGTGGGGATGACGACGTCGGTGAGCGCGTCGCACAGCCTCGTCTCGCCGAGCATGCTCCTGATCTTGCCGTGCAGGTACTTGCCGCTGTACCTCGGCCGCCTCAGCGATGCGGTCACCGCGGCGAGCGCGCACCTCCTGGCACAGCTCAACACAATCCACACATCAACCACCAGTTCAGCTCGCATGATCCATGTCCATGAGATGAGATCGTTCGTGCTCTCGCCTTTGAGGGAAGATGTAGGGCCCGTTGTCGAGGTAGAAGCGGTTGACGTCCCTGGCGGCGAAGAGCGGGCGGCCGTCCTTGCCGGGCGCGGTGATCATGGCGGTGATGAGGCCGCCGGTGCTGGTGCCGGCGATGCAGTCGAAGTAGTCGGCCAGGCGCGCGCCCGGGCCGTCCAGCTCCTGCAGCTTGGCCTCGAGGAAGTCGAGGATGGTGCCCGGGATGATGCCGCGGATGCCGCCCCCGTCGATGGTCAGCACCGTCACCCGCTGCCCCGGCGCCACCGGCTGGCCGACCACGCTGCCCGCCATCGCCCGCGTGCTGCACGACTCGCAGGGCCGCCGGCACCAGTAGCTTGCCATCATCGACCCGGCGGCCACGCGTCCGATCGATCAGCCGACGTTGCAAACCGACGTACGACACCTCGGTCGAGAATCAGGAGGAAGAAGACGGGATCGATCGCCGCACGAGAGGGTAGGCAGACCGATGGCGGTAATTGGTGGGTTTGCTAGCGGCGAGCGAGTGGCTGCCATGGTTCATGCCGTAGCGCGCGCTGGTCTATTTTTGGAGTGAGAGAGGGCACAGTAAACAGTAAACAGTTTGCGGGTGTGGTTAACTGAAGACATGCAGACATGCAGTGGAAGAAGAAGGAACCGGTCGGTCTTATGTCGTGGCGCACACAGTGCGAGAGCGCGTTCACTCTGACCAAACTGAAGACGGCCCAAGCTGAGTTCACTGCAAACTATTCTATGTATCGCTCATGACGAAGCGTAAGTGAAGTCTCGGCTGGAGATCTTGACCGGGTTTTTTTTTGGTTCGTTCGCTAGCTAGCTCGCTGTAGAGTTTCGTTGGTTCTTTTTCTTGTTTTTTTGAGGGAATCTTTTTCTTGTTTCTGCCTGTTGCTTGGACTGGTCCGGTTTTCATCGGATTTCGTCTTTCTTCTCTTTTTTGTGTTTTTCTTTACGTTTTTTATCAGGTTTTATGTTCTTTCTTTTATGTGTTTCTTTACAATTTCTATGGTTTTCTTTTCGTTTCCATAGATTTTCTATTATTTTATTTTTGTATATATTTTTCTTTATGGGTTTCAATGTTTTTTCTTTTTCTGTGTTTCTCTTTGCAGCTTTCATTGGTTTTCAATGTTTTTTTATTCTTTCCTTTTCTATGTGTTTTATTTAATTTTTCATGCCCCTCAACTTTTAAAATGTTTCCATCGATTTTTTCTTCGGTTTTTGTTTGTCTTTTAAATTTCTTTCTTTTTATGTGTTTTTTGTATGGTTTCCTTTTTCCCTTTTCCTTATTTAATACATGTCTACTTTTTTCAATACAAATTATAAAATTTTCATATATATCTACTTTTTTTTACATATTTGACATTTTTAAGTATATGTTTGGTTGTGTGCTTTTTTTCATATATGAAACATCTTTCTGTACACATTGAACAGTTTTAAAATACTACCCCCCTCCGGGTTTATTAGGACCCCTTTCATTTTGAGCCAAAGCTTAATCATGTATTTAACTAATAAAATATACACTATATGTCACGAAAACTATATCAAAGAATACCTCTTTCAAATGCAAATACAACAATATACTTTTTGTAGCATATACTTTATATATTTTGAGTTAAATATATGGTCAAACTTGAACCCAAAATACAAGGGGCTTAATAAACCCGGATGGAGGTAGTACATGATTAGCATGTTGTAAAATATATGTATATATATATATATATATATATATATATATATATATATATATATATATATATTACATATACACTGTATATTTTTTGTATACATAAAGTACATTTTCGCACATGTTTAACATTTTCTAAATACATGATTAACATTTTTTTTTCAGTATATGCTTTTGATGACTATTTTTCATGCACCTTGTACATTTTTGTACCCATCTGGAACATTATTTTTTATACACAGTTAGCATTTAAAAAATACATAATTTTTTTTTCAAATATACGTTTTGTCGTGTACTTTTACCATACACATTTTACATTCTTTGTATACAGTAGGGATACATTTTTTTTACATTCAGCTGGTTTTACATTCAAATTAGGCATGGAGGTTGTGTATACAATGCCTTGGGTAGAGCTAAGTGGAGCACTGCAGAACATAATAAATATAAGATTTAATATTCATGCCTTATTTGTACCAGATCATACAAATATGTAATGTAAGTCAAGTACTTCAATATTTTTTATGTGTTTGGATGCTACCAGTGGCGGAGCTAGCATTTGAGAACAGGGTGGTCCGCCCTAAAGGAAAAAAAATGATAACAAATACTATGACAAATGATCTAACTAATTACCCGTATCACACAAAAATAGATCAATATGGTCTGACAAACACACTAAATTCTCAATTAAGTCTAAGTTTAACATAAATAAGCCTACATAGTATATACTACATGGACCATTGTAAGTACATACCTTAAGTTCAAAAAGATTATGTTTCTTCCCTTTCTTCACAACTTCTCTCTGAAAAAGAGAAACAATGTCTTTGGTCCTCTTCATTCTTCGAACAATTCTGCAATAAGAATTTTTCTATCAATAAAGCTATTTGGGGAAGAATTGATGCACAGAATTATGTTGTTGGTCGGTTCATCTATAGGATAGATATCACAGCAAAAAAACCTAAATCAAAAATAAAATTGGGTATTTGAGACCTTAAATCAGGCTCACCTGCTGAGGTGCTGCCGCCGGACTGGGGCAATGGGCAGCCGCTGCCGGCTTTGCACGGGCATCAGGCGGCCGCGCGGGGTAGGAGTGCAGCCACGCAGAGCAGGGGCACACTCAGCTCGCAAGGGGGAGGAGAGGAGGCAGGCGGAACCTCCTCAGCAGCTGGGCGCCGGCGACCGCCACTGGCGAGGCGGGAGGGGCTCTGCGACTGCAAGGGCATCGGGACTAGGGACGAGGCGGCTCTGCGGCTGGTTCTGCTAACGCAATCCATTGCCTCAATGTAGATGACGAAGTGGCCGTGGGCTGTGGCTGCATTCGTAACACGTAAGTGTTTTGGGCCATTATTTTTTATCTGGCCCAGCCAACGATCCATAGGTATATGGGCTGACCAAAAATCCCAGGGTGGGCCGCGGCCCACCCTGACCACCCTGTAGCTCCGTCACTGGATGCTACCTCCCAATTGAGAGGATTTTTATTGTATAGAAGGAAATTGCTGGCAATTGAGGTTGGCTGAACATTCTTTCGCCAAGGTATAGTAAATACTTTATTACGTACCACTCTGTCTCATAACGTAAGATGTTTTTTCAAGTTATCTTGAAAAAACGTTTTACATTATGAGAAGGAGGGAGTAACTTTTATTTATGCTTGATGCAACTCCTGA